GAAAAAAGGTTCTAACCCAATGCAAAGAAACTAAGAACACTGAAAAAAGGTTTGATGAAATGCTAATGAGAATAAACAGCCTAGGGAAGAATATAAATGAATTGATGGAGCTGAAAAGCACAAGATGAAAACTTCACGAAGCATACACAAGTTTCAATAGCCGAATCAACCAAGCAGAAGAAAGGATATCAGAGATTGAAGATCAACTCAATGAAATAAAACAAGAAGGCAAAATTAGAGAAAAAAGAGTAAAAAGAAATGAACAAAGCCTCCAAGAAATATGGGATTATATGAAAAGACCTAATCTACATTTGATAGGTGTACTTGAATGTGACGGAGAGAATGAATCCAAGCTGGAAAATACTCTTCAGGGTATTATCCAGGAGAACTTCCCCAACCTAGCAAGGCAGACCAATATTCAAGTCCAGGAAATACAGAGACCACCACAGAGATATTCCTCAAGAAGAGCAACCCCAAGGCACATAATTGTCAGTTGAAATGAAGGGAAAAAAATGCTAAGGGCAGCCAGACAGAAAGGTTGGGTTACCCACAAACGGAAGCCCATCAGACTCACAGTGGATCTCTTGGTAGAAACCCTGCAAGCGAGAAGAGAGTGGGGGCCAATATTCAACATCCTTAAAGAAAAGGACTTTCAACCTAGAATTTCATATCCAGCCAAACTAACCTTCATAAGTGAAGGAGAAATAAAATCCTTTACAAACAAGCTATTGTTCAGAGAGTTCATCACCACCAGGCCTGCTTACAAGAGCTCCTGAAAGAAGCACTAAACATAGAAAGGAACAACCAGTACTAGCCACTCCAAAAATGTACCAAATGGTAAAGAGCATCGACACAATGAAGAAACTGCGTCAACTAACAGGCAAAACAACCAGCTGGCATCAAAATGGCAGGATCAAATTCACACATAACAATATTAACCTTAAATGTAAATGGGCTGAATGCCCCAATTAAAAGACACACACTGGCAAATTGGATAAAAAGTCAAAACCCATCAGTGTGCTGTATCCAGGAAACCCATCTCACATGCAAGGATAGACTCAAAATAAAGGGATAGAGGAAGATTTACCAAGCAAATGGAGAGCAAAAAAGAGCAGGAGTTGCAATCCTAGTCTCTGATAAAATAGACTTTAAATCAACAAAGATCAAAAGAGACAAAGAAGGGCATTACATAATGGTAAAAGGATCAATGCAACAAGAAGAGCTAATGATCTTAAATATAAATGCACCCAATACAGGAGCACCCAGATACATAAATCAAGTTCTTGAAGACCTACAAAGAGACTTAGACTCCCACACAATAATAGTGTGAGACTTTTAACACTCCACTGTCAATATTAGACAGATCAAGGAGACAGAAAATTAACAAGGGTATCCAGGACATGAACTCAGATCTGGACCAAGCAGACCTAAGAGGCATTTACAGAACTCTCCACCCCAACTCCGCAGAATATACATTCTTCTCAGTACCACATCACACCTACTCAAAAACTGACCACATAATTGGAAGTAAATCACTCCTCAGCAAATGCAAAAGAACAGAAATCATAACAAATAGTTTCTCAGACCAGAGTGCAATCAAATTAGAACTCTGAATTAAGAAACTAACTCAGAACCACACAACTTCATGGAAATTCAACAACTGGCTCTTCAATGTTGACTGGATAAACAATGAAATGAAGGCAGAAATAAAGATGTTCTTCAAAATCTACAAGAACGAAGACACAACGTACCAGAATCTATGGGACACATTTAAAGCAGTGTCTAGAGGAAAATTTATATATGCCCACATGAGAAGAAAGAAAAGATCTAAAATGGACACCCTATCATCAAAATTGAAAAAGCTAGAGGAGCAAGATCAAAAAAACTCAAAAGATAGCAGAAGACAAGAAATAAGTAAGATCAGAGCAGAACTGAAGGAAAGAGAGACACAAAAAAACCCTTTAAAAAAATTAGTAAATCCAGGAGCTGGCTTTTTGAAAAGATCAACAAAGTATACCACTAGCCATATTAATAAAAAAGAAAAGAGAGAAGAATCAAATAGATGCAATAAAAAATGATAAAGGGGATATCACCACCAATTCCACAGAAATACAAACTACCCTCAGAGATTACTACAAACAACCTCTATGCACATAAACCAGTAAACTTGGAAGAAATGGATAAATTCCTGGACACTTGCATCCTCCCAAGTCTAAACCAGGAAGAAGTCGAAAACCTGAATAGACCAATAACAAGGGCTGATGTTGAGGCAGCAGTTAATAGCCTACCAATCAAAAAAAAAAAAAAAACCCCAGGGCCAGATGGGTTCACAGCCGAATTCTACCAGACATACAAAGAGGAGCTGGTACCACTCCTTCTGAAACTATTCCAAACAATACAAAAAGCGGGAATCCTACCCAAATCATTTTATGAGACCAATATCATCCTGATACCAAAACCTGGCAGAGACTGAATAAGAAAAGAAAACTTCAGGCCAATATCCATGATGAACATAGATGTAAAAATCTTCAATAACATACTGGCAAACCTATTGGAACAGCACATCAAAAAGCTTATCCACCATGATCAAGTAGGCTTCATCCTGGGGACACAAGGCTGGTTCAACATAGGCAAGTCTATAAACGCAATTCACCACATAAACAGAACCAAAGACAAAAACCACATAATTATCTCAGTGGATGCAGAAAAGGCCTTCGACAAAATTCAACAGTGCTATATGCTAAAAACTCTCAAAAAACTAGGTATTGACGGAACATATCTCAAAATAATAAAAGCCATTTACAACAAACCCACAGCCAATATCATACTGAATGGGCAAAAACTGGAAGCATTCCCTTTGAAATCTGGCACTAGAAAAGGATGCCCTCCTTCACCACTCCTATTCAATATAGTATTGAAAGTTCTAGCCAGAACAATCAGGCAAGAAAAAGAAATAAAGGGTATTCGATTAGGAAAGGAGGAAGTCAAATTGTCTCTATTTGCAGACGATATGATTGTATATTTAGAAGACCCCATCTTCTCAGCCCAAAATCCCCTGAAAGTGATAAGCAACTTCAGCAAAGTCTCAGGATACAAAATCAATGTGCAGAAATCACAAGCATTCCTATACACCAATAACAGACTTAAAGACAGCCAATCAAGAACAAACTGCCATTCACAATTGCTACAAAGAGAATAAAATACCTACCAATACAACTAACAAAGGATGTAAAGGACCTCTTCAAGGAGAACCACAAACCACTGCTCAAGGAAATAAGAGAGGACACAAACAGATGGAAAAACATTCCACGCTCATGGTTATGAAGAATTAATATTGTGAAAATGGCCATACTTCCCAAAGTAATTTATAGATTCAGCACTATCCCCATCAAGCTACTTATGACCCTCTTCACAGAACTGGAAAATGCCACATTAAACTTCATATGGAACCAAAAGAGCCTGCATAGCCAAGTCAGTTCTAAGCAAAAAGAACAAAGCTGGAGGCATCATGCTACCTGACTTCAAACTATACTACAAGGCTACAGTAATCAAAACAGCATGGTACTGGTACCAAAACAGAGATATAGACCAAGAGAACAGAACAGAGGCCTTGGAAGCAACGCCACACATCTATAACCAACTGGTCTTTGACAGATCTGACAAAAAGAAGCAATGGGGAAAGGATTCCCTGTTTAACAAATGGTGTTGGGAAAACTGGCTAGCCATGTGCAGAAAAGAGAAACTTGACCCCTTCCTGACACCTTACACTAAAATTAACTCCAGATGAATTAAAGACTTAAACATAAGACCTAACACCATAAAAACCCTAGAAGATAATCTAGGCAAAACCATTCAGGACCTAGGCATAAGCAAGGACTTCATGACTAAAACAACAAAAGCCAAAACAGACAAATGGGGTCAAATTAAACTCCAGAGCTTCTGCACAGAAAAAAGAAACAATCATTAGAGTGAAGTGGCAACCAACAGAATGGGAAAAATTTTTTGCAATCTACTCATCTGACAAAGGGCTGATATCCAGAATCTACAAAGAACTAAAACACATTTACAAGAAAAAAACAAACCCATTCAAAAGTGGGAGAAGGATATGAACAGATATTTTTCAAAAGAAGGCATACATAAGGCCAAAAAACACATGAAAAAAATGCTCATCATCACTGGTCATTAGAGAAATGGAAATCAAAACCACATTGAGATATCATCTCATGCCAGTTAGAATGGCAATCATTAAAAAATCTGGAGACGACAGATGCTGGAGAGGATGTGGAGAAATAGGAACACGTTTACACTGTTGGTGGGAGTGTAAATTAGCTCAACCACTGTAGAAGACAAGTGTGGCGATTCCTCAAGGATCTAGATATAGAAATACCATTTAACCCAGCAATCCCATTACTGGGTATATATCCAAAGGGTTATAAGTTGTTCTATTATAAAGACACATGCACACATATGTTCATTGCGGCACTGTTTACAATAGCAAAGACCTGGAACCAACCCAAGTGCCCGTTGATTACAGACTGGACAGGGAAAATGTGGCACATATACACCATGGGATACTACACAGCCATAAAGAATGATGAGTTCATGTCCTTTGTAGGGACACGGATGAATCTGGAAACCATCATTCTCAGCAAACTGACACAAGAACAGAAAATGAAACACTGCATGTCCTCATTCATAGGTGGGCGTTGAACAATAAGAACACATGGACACAGGGAGGTGGAGCATCACACACTGGGGTCTGTTGGGGGGACTACAGGAGGGACAGTGGGACGGGTAGGGAGTTGGGGAGGGATAACATGGGTAGAAATGCCAGATATAGGTGATGGAGATGGAGGCAGCAAACTACAGTGCCATGTATGTACCTATGCAACAATCCTGCATATTCTTCACATGTACCCCAGAACCTGAAGAGCAATTTAAAAAAAAATACACACACACACACACACAAAGAGACCGAGTTATCCTGTAGAATATCCCACCTTCTGCATTTAACTGCTTCTTTGTGGTGTGGAAGAATTGTTTTTAACTCCTTCACGTCCCAGACACAGCAGGAACCAGCTCCTTTTCCTCAGGTCCTCCCCGCCTTGCCTCATTGCTCACCTTTCAGAACCTGCAGGAGCAGATCAATCCCCTCTTGGTAACACACCAGAGCCTGCGGATACCGCGACTCGGAATCTAGTTCTACCGCCCGCTTTAGCACAGTGACTGCAGCTGTGCTCTCCGGATCATGCGCCATCCCAGACTTCGCCATAATTCCTGGAACTCTCCTCCTCCTCAACCCAGGCTGAAGTTGGGCGGGTCTGCTGCGCTTCCGGGAAGTGGTCATGTGACAGCCTACGCGCCTGCGCTCTCTTTCTAGGGCGTTTCCTGAGAGGGAGAGATTTCGCCGGAATAGAAGTGCTCTGGTTCGCAGGTCGCGCTGACTGCAACGGCAGGCTTTGGGTGTAGCACTTGGTAGTTCTTCCTCTGCTCTGCTTCCCTTTGGTGGAAAACTTCCGGGCTGAATGTTCAGTAGGTGCTGGTGAGTGGGGAATGAGTGGCCGAAAGTACTGCATTCTTCGCCAGGTGTATGTATCCGGGAACCCTCTGCAGACCTAATTGATTTTCCCTATCGCGTTCTGAGTTGGCAGGTTACAGCGACCTTAATGGATCTGCGACTGATCCCGTCACATTGGCTCCCGAAAGGCCCTTGGTCTGCATTTTGCTGTTTCCCGATTCGCAGAATCCAGGGCCACGCGGTTTGTTGTGCCTAGACTCTTGGAGCTCAAGGACTGAGCCACCGAGCCTGGACAGCTTTGGAAAGGGGACCTAAGCAGCATTTTTCTGTGCTTCTGCTTTATTCATAACTTAGGGTTACCATTGGGAATTAGGATTACTTTTCCTTTTTTAATGAAGACAGAAAAATTGCCTTTATTTTTGTATTGCTTCATTTTATAATGCAAACATTCCAGAGTTGACAGTTAGAATATTTGCCATTTTATTAAAAACTCATTTGTTACCATTTTGATGGAGACCTACCGAAAGCTGTTTGTTCTGCCCTTTTGGCCAAGAGGCAGTAATGAGGACTGCCTACTACTTGTTAGGGACTAGGGGTTCAGAGAAGAGACACGCTTCCAGCCTTCAGAGATCTTTGGTATCCCTGCAAGAGTGATTCTGTGTTTTGCATTTCAGAAGTGTTTTTCCCCCTTTAATAATTACATACATTGTCAGTTTAGAAAAACAAATCGCTTTTTAACATTACTGTTGCATGCATGGTCATTGTAAAAAGACAAAAAGAACTACCCGTTGGTGGAGGGGGAGAGGAAAAATGCCTTTTTTCATACCCCCAGGAGTGAGTTAATGTTATTCTGTCGACCTTCCAGAGTTTTTCTGTGAATACACACATTCGCAGACATTTAAAAAAAGTAGAAATGGGATCATACTTCTCATGTGATGCCTGATATTTTCCTATTTTTACAGTAGAAGACTATAATTGCTTCAGGGTCCAAGAGTCAGGTGCCTAATTAATAATAACTTTTACTTTATTAAAACGTATTCCTTGAGTAAAACGTGGTGACACACACCTAGCTCTAATTACTGGGAAAATTGAGGATTGCTTGAGGCTAAGAGTTCAATGCCAGGAATACAGCAAGACTCTGTCTCTAAAAACTTGTAACTTTTGATTGTCACACCTTCTAAAGTCTGTAAATATTTAAACTTTTGTTATTCTGCAAAAATATATTATGTGGCAACTATAGGGTAGACACCGCTTTATGTAGATGCTTGGGATACTTCTGTGAATATAACAGACCAAAAACAACAGGATCTAAAAACGCTTGTCCTATGGAATTAGCATGCTATTGAATGGACATGCACTAAACAACAAACCTAGCAGATAATTAAGTTAGGTTAGAAGATAAACACAATAGAAAGAAAAGTAAGATGGAATTAGGAGTGTTGACAGTTGGGGTGTGGGTGAAAATGTTAAACGAAGTGACCTGGGTAAACCTCATTGAAAAGGTGAGATTTGAGCCAGATTACAGATCTGGCTCTGGGTGTGCTCATTGCTACTAACTGCTATTGCTTTACATCCTGTCAGCTAACAGAACTAGCCCATATATACATGCATATCTATAATTATTCCTATACTCCTCAATATCTATATTAAGCTAAACATGAGTTCCAATGCCAATCTAGTATATAAGGATCTCTGTATCCTTTCCCTTTTCCTTATGTGTAACCTCCCACTTCAACAGTGAGAATCCTGGCTCTCTGGAAGATTTTTTGAGCAGAATGACATAATCTAAGATTTAATAAGATGATTTACTGCTGATATACAAAAGAGATATTAGGGGAATTGGGATAAAAGCAGAAGTTCAGTTAGGATTTTGTTGAGACTTAAGTGATAAAAAAGATTTTTTAGAGTGTGAAGCTAAATAAGTTGGATTAATACATAATGCTAACCTTGAGAGGAGGAAGTATGGTAAAATAATTTAGCATTAGATAGGTTCAGTTGCTGAGGAATGTTTCTGAGGTCTGGCTCTTTACAGGAGACATCTTGCATTGATTCTCAGAGTTCCCATTGCTTTTCCACATCACAGGAAAGACTTGCAGAACTTGAATGAGCTAGAATCTGCGGGACACTGAATTACAACACTTAACCTATTTTAATGTGTTAGAGCAGAAGTCTCCAAACCCCCAGGCCTCAGACCCAGACCACTTGGTGGCCCATTAGGAACCAGGTGGCACAGCAGCCAGCAAGCTGAGGTTGAGTGAGCATTACCACCTGAGCTCTGCCTCTTGTCAGAGCAGTGCAGCATTAGATTCTCATAGGAACATGAATGCTATTGTGTACTATGCATGCAAGGGATCAGGTTGCCTGCTGCTTTTGAGAATCTAATGCCTGATGATCTGAGGTGGAACAGTTTCATCCTGAATCCTTCCCCACCACCCCTCCCTATTCATGGAAAAATTGTCTTCCACAAAACTGGTCCATTGCCAAAAAGGTTGGGGACCGCAGTGTTAAGAGTATTCTTATTAGCTTTGTAATAATTTCATAATAAAGTTACCATTTATTAAGGGCTTCCCACATGCCAGGTGCTGTTTTAGGTGCTTTGTAGAATAACTCAGCTGCAAGACAGGTATTTTCTCTTTTCTGAGGGAAAAGTTGTAACACAAATTAATTAACCTGTCTGAGATATACATGTAGTTCATGAACTTAATCTTTCTGCTTTCAGTATAAGACAGTATAGAAGGCTATAGTTTTTTCATGTCTAATTAAATAAATATGACCTTTCTAGGTTTTAGATGCAATGCATGTGCATTGAAAATAGTTTAAAAAAATACAAATAAGCAAAAAAGTTCTATTTTTTAACAGAAACGTGTTATGATTTAGTGAAAATGCACTTGCCTAGGAATTAGGAGAATGGGGTTCTAGACTACTTACTCTGTTGATAACTGGATGCTCTTACATAAATTATTGAACTTTCTGGAATTCATGATCCTCATTCATAAAGTTAAGGGTATGGGCAGTCAGTTCTAATTATAGGAGTTGGGATTTCTTCAGTCCTTTCTAGGTCTTTAATTTTCTGTGATTCTATAACAAGGCATTCTTTATCTGGCTTCATTGTTGAAGAAGATACTTTAAATGATAGTAAATTCTCATTTCCCAGTTTTGTGGAATCAATCCAGGTCTGACTCATTTGATGAAAATGGGTTAATGTTGGGTATAATTACTACCTGTGGTCGAATGAAACATTATTTCTAAATCAATTCTTGCCCTTATTAAAATAAGGGCATTATTAATTTACTGTTAAACTTCAGTCACGTTTACAATTAATTTGCTGCTTAGTTTTTTATTACTAGAGAAGGGGAAACCTGTTCATTTCCAAGACTGATGGGTCTGCTTCTTACTTCTCGCAGCCTCTAAAGAGAGCAATCACTACACTTATGGCTGGGATTTTGCGTTTAGTTGCTCAGAGGCCCCCAGGCAGACTACAGGTAAGTATTTCTTTTGACGACTTCTTCTTTTTCTACCCCTTATGAATTTTTTTCTTTGTCATTACAAAACGTATAGGCAAGTTAAGTTCTTTTACCAGTTCTTTTTTGAAATTTTTGACATGTTGGAAGTAAATCTTGCTTATTTATGGTTTATCTGCTGTTTTATCCCTAAAGATCTAGAATCAAAAAAGATCTTTTTCTGGAAAAGCTGCCAATAAAAAATGGCTATCATTGATTCCCCTTGGCCTATCTTAAAGTTTTAGGTTTTCTTCCCTTCAATTATGGAAGGAATGCATTTTCAATAATAAAATGTTAGAAAATTATAGAAAATCAGAAGGAAGATAAATAATCTCTAAGAGACCATTAGTGTTAGTATTTTCATGTATCTCCTTCTACACTTGCTTTTAGAAAGTGCACTGGTGCAGTCTAATCTACTCATAAGGGCCAGACCGTAGATGCGCCTATAGACCTGCTCCTGGCTGTAGATGACAATAATGTAAGGGGCTTTATATATATTACCTTAACCTCAGATTAATCCTGTGAGGTCAATATTATTACTTTTTAGAGCTGAGGAAACTGACCCTCTGAGAGGGTAAGTGTCTCATGTCTCACAGCTAGTAGGCAGCAGAACTCAGCCCAGTGCCTCTCTTCTAGCGGTTTATACCACCTCTGCAATGCAGGAAAGGCTGGGAGGGAATGAGGGGAATGACTGTTGCCCATTCCTAGAGCAGTATCCTGGTATGAAAGGTTGGCAGTGAATCCTTCTTCTTCAGTAACCTGAGAGAAATGGGACTGGAGGAATGTAGAGCAGGAACAAGAGATGGGAACTGGGAGTGATGACATTGTTAGGACTAGAAAGGAAACTAGAAACTCATTTTGGATTTCTTTTATATTGTCTTGTTAAATGTGAATTATTGCACATTGTCTAGAGCAAGAGTTGATAAACTATGGCCTCTAGGTCAAATTCAGCCTGCCACCTATTTTTTGTAAATACAATTTTATTGAAAAATAGCCACACCTGATTGCATATTGTCTGACTGCTTTTACTCTATAATGGCCAAGCTGAGTTTTGGCAATGGAGGCTACATAGCTTTAGAGCTGGAAATATTTACTATCTGGTCCTTTACAGAAAACAGTTACCAATTCATGCTCTAAAAGTCTAAATTTATATGCCTTTAGCTTTATATTATGTTAGTGCTTAGATGGGATGCATTCACTTAGCTGGGGAGCTGTGATATACCTTTAATAATTATAAGGTAGGTTGGAACAGATTTCTGCTACCTAAAGATTGGTGGGTATGGATTTCTGTACTAGACAGAATTGTTAAAAAACAAATGATTTATATCATA